AATCTATTGTTTTTCCTGATTATTCAGTGAATTGTAAAATGTCACAAAAGCTATTTAAGTTTGCAGTGACATGGAAAGAAGCAGCACAATCTCACATTTCAGAAGCATGAACAAGAAAATGTTTAAAAAAGAAATCTCTCTAGCATGGGGATTCCTGCTCACCTCATAACTGTCTGATCAGTGCCGCTCCAAGCAGACTTAGACAATGGAGTTCAAGGGATCTGCTAACATAACAACTGATTGAATAGCAGATTTTTTTAAGCATCACACTGCCACATATCAGGCAAAATGAGTCAACCAATAAATCTGTTAGGCAACTTAATGATAATCATGTTACGCTTACTGCTTCACACAGCGGACATGGTATTGAGTTCAATCCTATACTGTTAAAGTGCTGATCCAGGTGATGACCTTGCATCGGCTTCCTTTCCTATAAGCATCAAGTTTTACATGAATTTCCATGTTAATTTAATTTCTAGTGTTTTGTAGCACTTGCTTTCAAAGCAAGGTGCCATTGCCTGTTAAATTACACTCCTGGCTATATCGAATGACTCGCCACATTTTTTCCTTTAAGAGGAGCGTAACACATTCTCTAATAGAGCCATTTGTACTACAATGATGCAACATTTATTTTTTACTCACTTTTGTTTCTGTATTTTTTTAAAAGGTTGTAGCTGATACTATCTCCCTCTAATGATGTATTATGCAACCTTTTCATTCCACCCCCCACCCTCCATCTTTCATCCTATTGTTGTAACAGACTTGTAAGGTGAGAGTTGGACCTTGATAATTACCCTGCTGACAGGAGGTCATCCAACACCGCATTATCTGGTTAGCAGTACCCTTTTAGGAGAAACAGTCTGATAATTTCAGGGCAGCAACCTTTCTCACATGACAAACAGGAAGGCTGATTGCTCACATAGTGTAGCGCAGCCACTTGTTCGCTGTCTTGTCTTCTTTGTTGGAAGCTTTAACTCTCTGATGTCATGAAAAAAGCAGACAAGTAAGAGGGTGGAATGACTTGAAAAGAAGTGTCAGCGTGAAAGGCCGACAGCGACTATGCTGCATTTCAAGCCAGACTATCAAAACAAGGTAAGGTGACCCAAGAGTTCTGAAGTTACAGATGACTTGAGCTTCTTGACTATCAACTTTGGCCAAATGCAATTCATCATTAATGTGTCGGCATTTAGTAAACAGCTGATGTGTTTGGAGCGTGTATGTGGTGGAAAGCTTAAGTGACACAAAACCATGCAGTTGTGAAAGCAATTTTAAAGGCATTTTAGTGGGTTTCTGTTCAGGAAGGCCTGGTTTTATATGGCAGAAAGCCTAAAATAAGTTTGGCAAATGTGTCATAAAATGATAAAACAAGTGTAGAAGTAATTCTGTGTCAGAAAAAACACAACACAAACTGCTGGACACAAGATTACATTTATTTAAAATGTCATGATGTTGCAATGATAAATCCCAATTTTAACACCCGTGTTAGCATCCAAAGAAGCCGTGAACACGACACTGCAGATACAGACAAAAAAAATATGCGTTCACTAAGTGGAAATGATCAAAATCATAATGCCACATCACATATTTTTATTTGTTTATTTATTTATTTTTAACTTTTAACATGATTGGGTGTTAGGTAGCTGATTATACAAATAAAACATATATAAAATTTGGACAAACAAAGCTGATCTGTTTTTGAAATTAGTACAAAAATTGCATCCAAGCAAGCAGAAAGGTTTGCTGCGGCAAACTGGACGGAAACTGAAGACTTTTTGTGACTGTTGCTGTAAAAAAAACAAAAAAACTTACCTTTTAAAATCCACAGATTTGTCCCTGGAATCTATACTGCTACTTTTTGTCAAAATTTCATCTGGAGCTCAGAATCTTTAATTACCGCTTCATCTATGCGATTTGGTGAGAATGTCCATGAGCTTAACACAGAATTCACTGCCAAGCGCTTATTTGCACTGTTACATTATAGTGAATGCTGACAGCTTTGTTCTGGTGTGCTGCTAATCCTGTGAGCCAGCGATTACCTCAGTGTTTGACACTTGTGCATCTGTGTTTGCATTCCTTTATGGTAGTTCATTAGCGTACACTACACATGTGCAGACAGAGCTGTGAGTTTTTCCTTTCTGAGCATCACTCCGTCTATGGGGATTTCAGCCTAAAAGCGAGGGTATGAAGCCCCATCTCATAAAGCTCTCAAATTGCCTGTGCTTTTAAGTCGAGTGCCTCTTAACATTTTTGACATATTGCTTGAACTAGAATGTCAGAATAAAGCAGGCGTTTTACTGTTCTTAAGGGATCATGTCTACCCTGACATCACCTAGCTGTGGAAAGTCATACACTTCTGATGGCAGTGGCCATTATACATGTACACAACGAAAGTATAGCCCAAACTCTGCTAGCTGAGCGCTCACCACTGACAACTTGATAGTGCTAAGCCTTCGAGGGTGAGAGTATATGTCTCCCCTGTGTACATACTGATGAGAACGTGATAGCAGGTTTTAGAGAAGGTATACACGGGTTGGCTTGAAGTGACGAGGAGTTGTCATGTCGCAGGTGTATAGAAAACAGCTCTGGAGACAAATTGTTTCCAAAGTCATTCAGGTAAGAGAATAGTTTTTATTGCAGGGTTTTCGCTCTCACATAATTTTCACGAGCCATTGGCTCTAACGTTTTAGACTTTGAAATGAGCAAAACTAATGGCAAAGCTTTATCTACAGGGACTGAGTTGACTTTGACAGCGTGTGTCTGCTGTTTTCTATTCCCTGGCTGATTTGGATTAAAATTGATGAAATTTATCAGATGCCAAACTGTCCCCGTGCACATTTGTGTTTTCTCTTTAATTCCAAAAGCCACAGTTTGTTTATTATAGGGATTCTCTGTCTCGCCATAGCTTATCTCAGGATGGGGTTTTGTTTGCTTCTGAAAGCTATTAGCATTGTATCTGTTATTATTTGGGTCTTTCAGCGCTGGCTTCTGTGTCTGTGTCATGGGAATAACTAAATGTGGATTTGTGTTTTTGTGTTTTGCCGGCTTTTGTTGACTAGTGTATTTTTTGTGTTTGCGTATTGCATTCACTGGTGACTTAGTCTGCTGGTTTGAATAACCTGCGCCACACTGCAATGTGCCTGTATTGTTTGTGTCTACCCTGAAGACTGAGACTTGGCTGTTCATCCAATTTGAAATAAGGGCAGAGAGAAGGTGTGTGAAATGGCTGGTCGCCTGGCAACGGTTGGCTTGGTATCCTTTTTTTTTTTTACAGTCAGTCCATGATGTTAGTGTGTGTTTGTGTGTGTGTGTGTGTGTGTGTCCAGAGAGTTTCTGTAATGCTTTAAACAGATGGGTGTTACATTTATTTTTTCATGCAAGAAAAGATCATATTGAAAATATAATTAATATTTTTGAATCGAGACTGAGTGCGCTTGATTAACACTGATCGATAGCTCGTTCTTTTGTTTGTGATATATTCTTTACGACAGGATAGCCATACACTGCATTAATAATAAGTGTCCATACTGTCTTAAGCCACCCAGTTTGCTTCCAAGGAGCAAGACATTCTTGCATTTTTCAAAGATTTTCAAGGATCTAGAGTTTAGTAGTTCTCCAGGCTTTCTGAAGGTCTTTAAAGGTTTTTCTTTGGATTGAGGTTTTTTTCATTTACATTCAGTGCAGTCTTTGTACCCGTCCATTTTCAAAGAAATGCTAATTGTGTTTGAATGTAAAGCCACTTAACACTGACCTATGAATAATCAAAACATCCAAAAAGATACCTAACTCAAGGGATTTGCCATTGTTGTGTCTTCACATAACTTCACATTCACTTTGACTATTTTGTGCCCTTAGAAAATATAAGTAAAATGAACAAGTGGAGGACAAAAAACGAGTGGTAGTCTTAAAAAAAAACTTTGATATGTTAATAAAATTCACGTAATTGTGATGGTCACTGCAGATATTGACTATCAAACCCATTATAATTGCCCAAACTCTGTTTTTTGCCTTGTATACTATAATTCAAAAAGTGCTCATGGGTTAACCATCTGAACTGTGCAGACTTTTGTTGTGCTTTCTAAAAACACTGTTATCTTTTGAAGTGACCTTTTAAGCAAGGAAATGCACGCAATGTGCCAGTGAAAGATTTGGAAGAAAATCCTAATTGTTAACATTTCTACCAGGATTTCTGTGAAGTGAATAATTATGCAGATTTTGCAGCTGCTGTAGTTAGACAGCATTTTAGTTCTTTTAGTCTTTTTTTACACTACAGACTTGGGCTTCATATGTCCAACTCCCCTTAGCCCTAACAGACACATAGCTTGACCACTATGATTTCTGGTATATATAGAGTTGTCCTTTGTTTATGTCCAAGCATTTATGTCCTCCGTTACACACAAATTCTTTCCTCAATCTATTTCTTTTCTCTAAAACTTTTTTTTTACCTCATCCCATTTTTTCTTCTCTTTCCTGTACTCCTCTATCATATAATTTATATTCTTCCCTTTCACCTTTTTGGTATTCAATCATTTTAATCCCTTCTTTAGCTCTACCGTTGAGAGCCACATTCCTCATCCCTGTTTTCAATGCTGTTGCTTGATATCAATTCAGTCTTTTGGATTTGATTTTTTTCCACTTTGTTTTAATTTAAGTCTCAGTTCTCAACCTCTAAAGTCTCATCGGGGTTGCCAATTGGTTTCTTTACACCATTGAGCACTGCAGACATTTACAGTATTCTTGAAACTGTTATTTGAGAATAAGGCAGCATATAGTTAAAAATCACTGTTTACTACAAGGCAACCACATGAATGTGCACACAAGGAAAAGAGAGGCGGGACAAAGAAAATACATCACTTATTATGCGATACTCAGTGTTAAAGTTTAATCCAACTGTTTCACATTGTCTAAACAGACTGCTGTATAAAAGCAGAAGCTCTCAAGAGTAATTTTGGTATAGCTGTTCACAATAGGATGCTAGAAGTGGGCTTTTCAATGTAAAAATATTTCAAGCCAGGAACAAATATTCCTATTATCTCCTGTTTGGTTAAAAAACTGTTTCTATACAGATGAAAGGCAAATGAGTGATTTTAGATACACCCTACTGCAACGGCTTCATACAGCACCAGGTTTCATGTAATCTGTTTGTTGGCTGACCTTGTTCCTGTGTTACTAAGCAGCACGACCTGGCAACCCATTGTGGCTGATTTTGCTCCCCAGACCTAAACACAAGCCACTGCACGCAAGCAGCAGAGTCTCAAGTAAAAGGGTGGCAGTGAATCTTTTATATATGAAGCTCAAGTGTTTAGTAACATCAGATTAGGATGCTGCAGAACAGCATTATTCACAGTTAACTGAAATGTATCCAACTTTCTTTAAAAATTGTTGTGTTCTTTGGGTCCTGTAAACAATGCCTAAGCTTCAGTCAGTTGAAAGATGGTCATGTGATGACTGAACTGTCCATTCAAAATCTTTGAAAAATTACACAGGTTACATTTTTATTGAATTGAACTTGATATTTAGTAATTCAAAATTTTGGAACTTTTTTTAAGCAAAAGTTGAAAGAGGAGCGTGAAGCCAAGCGGGCTCAGCTGGATGGAAGACATGACTATATCCTCAGTATTGTGGCTTCATGCTTGGGGCTGGAGAAAGCAGATGTGGAAGATGCCATATTGGAGGGGAATCAGGTACTTTGCACATAAATGTTCAAACAGATTATATTGTTTTATTGGACAACTTTACAGGCCTTAAAAGACAGAAACAAGCAAGCAAAAAAATGTGGTGCATCTACAATGGGACTGAACAGTGCAGAGGTTTTGTTTTCATCTTTGTCAGATTGACCGCATGGAGCAATTTTTCATGGCTGACGGTCTTCCACACCTAATGTTCTACTATCAGGACACTGAACCAACTGGAGCAGGTACCATGAAACTCTAGAGTCTTTTAAAAAAGTGTGTGTGTAAGTTATATTGTGTAACTTTGCAGTACAGAAGCTCCACGTCTATCTTATATGAAACTGTCTCTGTCACTAATAGAGATCATAAAAGTAATCCATTGTCAAGTAAATGCCACAGTATTAAAATCAGAATAGGAAGTCAAAGTTGGTTACCATGACACCTTTTGTTGTTTCCAATCCTTTATGCGAGCAGCACCAGCACCAGCAGCTACAGCCTCTATGCCCGCCCAGCCTGTTGCCCAGCAGCCTGGTCACAGCAAGAAGTCCAAAGTGTTTGTAACAGATGGGAGGGATGTGGCACTGACCGGAGTGTGTGTCTTCTTCACCAGAGCCAATACTTCAAAGGCAGTCACCTCTGAGAACATACACAGAGTGAGTCAGTTTGTATTGTTTTGGGATAGCTAAGTTATTCATTTCTTTGCGAAAGAGGAGGGATTTAAAGGATTTAAAGTCAATTAAAACCATGCAAGTGGAGAAACACAAATTTAACCATGACTGTGTTGTGGTTGTGAGCACTACGGGAAGTCAACTTTTATCAATTTGTGAAACGTAATTAATAATAGGCACTGAGTGTCACAAGACAAATGTTCCGATTTTTTTTTATTTTACTTGTTCTTATCATGCATGATATCCAAAAAAAAGCTTCTTACACCCAGAGGTAGTGAGGCACTGGGGGAGCTCAGTAATGGCGCTGTGATAGCACAGCTGGTTCTGGCTATTGATTCCTACTGAACACCTGCTATCTGCAGCAAAGTTAATCACCACCACTGATAACAGGTCCTGTTTGCTACAAAACACCCTCGGCTGGAGACAGAGGAAAACAGGATTGTGTGTGTATGTGTGTGTCTGTGTATTCATGTAATGAGAATGAGAGAAAGCACTTGTGTGCACTTCTCTTGCTAAATTTCCTAATTAGTCGCTTCAAAAAAATTCAAGGGCACATCAGGTGTTCGGGTGTTACTTGACATTTGGGTGGATTAAGTTAGAGGAGTTATTATTAAAAGGGAGGTGTCCAGCTCATGGCTGAGAGAAGCTGTTCACCAAAGATTCACAATTATGTGTTGCTGGCAAATTGTTCATGAGGACTGGTGAGTTGCTAGTTAATTAAAATCAAGTCAGTTAACTAGCAGCCACGGGGTTAGTGGATACATTGTATTCTCTAGATGACTGTGCCACACCTTTGAAGGGTTAAAGTAGTATAGTACAGTAATAAATGATTAATGATTATTATTAACAATGTTTAATAATCATATTTTTTAATTCATTTGAAAACCAGTCCGTCAGCATGACCCAAACGGTTATGTTAAAGTTATAGCCGATTTATAAATATTATTGGAATTTATATCATGAAGTTTACAACACTTGGTTCAAAAAATTATAAGTAGGCCTTTGGGACCCATGGATGGTCCCGTGATTAAACCCTTAGAAAACCACAATAACATCTGACAATCATTTAAAAGGGAGTCGTATATTTTTAATTTAGTCACATATGTGCTGGTTCTCTCTTCTCAGATGTGATGCAGTACAACCACACAAACTAATGAAATCTAATCTAACAAATGTAATATTATAACTATGATTGGAAAACATTATGTCCTTTTTGCTAGCAGTATAGTAACTTTTTTAATGCTTTTTCAAAGTATTACAGCAGATTTTTAACAGCTTCCCAGACTCACTTGAAGGACACATGCATAGTTGGTCCATTATAGTGTCTACACTACAGTAACCCAGGGAGACTTCTGCCAAAAGCCAAAAGGTTTTCTTTGCCAGCTAGTAAGCTAGGAAGGTCTCTTTTGAGGCATGTTTAATATATGAATGCTAAGATTTTTATTATCTTTTTTTACTATTTTCTAGGATGTGAATTTCAATATGTTGGATACAACGGAAGGTGGTCTTTTAAAAAGTGTGGAGCAGCTGCTTTCTGAGATCTTCATTCCCACACTGAGGAAGATGAACCACGGCTGGGGAGACGGGACAAGTCCTCAGACCCTGGTCGTCAAACAGGACTTCATATCTTCATTGGAAAGCTTTGTGTCTGTGTTGGTTGGAGCACAGGAGAGCCTTCAGGAAAAGGTAGGGGACAGACTAATAAAAGCACCATATTACCAAAAACTAAATTAAATATAAAATGCATAGTAGGTTAGATTAACATAGATAAATAAACACAGTTTAAACATTACATACACTTACATTATAGTAGCAAATAAAGCAACACAGCACAACTTTGCTTTCAGGTTACCTTGAAAGAGTGCGACACCTTTGACTTGAAGGTACTGAAGGGCCCGTCGGACTACGTGGCAGCTGCCAGCAGCACAGAGACCATAGAGAAGATAGAGGCCTGCATGAAAGTCTGGATCAAACAAATAGAACAGGTGAGAAGAGACTCTCATCGTGTTTCTCCTCAAACTTGATACAGAAAAAGTATTCTCATTCATTTATTCCAAGTTTTCTGCCATTTTATTTGAATGTGCTTGTATCAGATGAAGGATAAACTGCAGGCCTGAAGTTTCAGCAGTGATATCGAATGTCTCTATTCTGCAGGTTTTAGCTGAGAGTGACCAGCTTAGAAAGGAGGCTGATGATCTTGGCCCTCGGGCTGAGCTGGAGCACTGGAAGAAACGGATGACTCGCTTCAACTACCTTCTGGACCAGCTGAAGAGCCCTGATGTCAAAGCTGCTCTGGGTGTGGTCTTGCTGGCTAAATCTAAGCTCATAAAGGTCAGATGTGACTGTCATATACTGCTGATTTTAAGTGGCTGTACCACATGCTGTCTTTCTTGGATATTGCTTCTCTCTCTTTTATTTCAGTGGTTTATTGTGAGATTATGTTTGTTTTTTTTGAAAACGGTGTACACCTTAATTAAGTAACGGTCTGTAATGGTCTAGTCATGGCGGGAACTGGATGCAAGGATCACAGATGGAGTTAATGAGGCCAAAGACAACGTCAAGTATCTCTACAGCTTGGAGAAGTTTTGCGACCCGCTCTACAACAGTGACCCTGTGAGAAAAGAATATTTTATCACACTCTGGTGCATTTTAAAAAATAAACCAAATCAACTGCATTCATGATGAAGACAGTACAAATGTGCTGGATGTGTGTTATATTTGAATGTACAAAGAAATACAAGCTATAATTTCTGTTTCCTCCAAGGTATCAATGGTGGATGCAATCCCAGGTCTGATCAATGCCATCAGGATGATTCACAGTATTTCCCGCTACTACAACACATCTGAAAAGATTACATCACTTTTTGTAAAGGTATTGTGCAGATCAACAGACTTTTGTTATGATGAACAATGGGATCCTACATTTTTTTTTTATAAATGATTGATACTGAAGCATTTTTAGGACACTTTTACATTAAGACAACAAAAAAGTACAAATTTATATGATGATTTATATGATTTATAGTTTCCATTTTTTTATCCTCATCTCCAGGTGACAAACCAGATGATCACAGCTTGTAAGGCCTATATCACTGATAATGGCACAAACTCAATATGGGACCAACCTCAGCAAGTCATTATTGAGAAAATCAAAGCTGCCATTCGCCTAAACCAGGTAATGGATCATTTTTAAATGAAAACAAAATGTGTTTTGTAGCAAAATGCACCTCTGTCAGTTTTTTATCAGTCAAAATGTGGTTCTGTATCATAATGTGTTTCCCAGGAATACCAGCGATGTTTCCACAGAACCAAGGAGAAGCTGGAGCAGACTCCTTCAGAAAGACAGTTTGACTTCAGCGAGATGTACATCTTTGGAAAGTTTGACACATTCCAGCGAAGACTGAACAAGATCCTCGAAATGTTCGCCACCATTTCCACCTACTCCGTTCTAAAGGACTCGAAGATAGAAGGGCTGGAGACGATGGCCACCAGGTTTCAAGTGAGTATACTGTGATATCAGACTGTTGTCAAATCCTGTTAATAAGACATGTGCAGGGAGGCATTGCATTAACTGATTAAATGTCACTGTCAGGCAGCAGTGTCTGTATTTCTCCTGGCATCTTCAGATGTTGAGTATGTTGTCATTACGGTAAATGGAAAGTTTCTCTGTATTGTCGAACAGAATTTCAGGCTGCTCACTTACAATGCCAGTGGCAGGCTGCTGATTGTTTTCTGTGGTTTCCTGTTGCGCAAACAATTAATTTTTTTACATCATCAAACTGTGATGCTTAAGGTTTTAGTACATAATACTTTCAGAGTCTGTTGATGTGAACCATGTGTTTGTGTTCTTGCTTCTTGGGCTACACAGACTGCAGAAATGCAGGGAAAATGGGAGGTAATGTCTCACTGCAGTTTTCAACTTTTAGCATTTTTCTTGCAGACAGCATGCAGTGGTGGAATATTGTTGTGCAGTGTTTTGCCGTACATATGCCTTAATAACAAAATAGCTACTAATTGCATGGAGATTAAAACCAACTCCTTACTTTCTTTCTTTCTTTTTTTTTGCATTATTAGGGCCATAGTAATACTTTCTAAACTCATCCCTGCGATGACCATTTGTTAATACTATTTAAACTTGTATCCCAAACCTTTCGCCAGTTCATGGGGAGCTTCTGAGTTTTCTGTTTAGATTAATACTTTTTCACACAAGAAAAGTGTGTGCAATGGTGTTCATTTTAGTGTACAGGCAATTCATTCTCATGTTTCACTTGTAAAATATTTATCTAAAGTTTGTGAAACTTCCTGAATGAATAAAAACTTAACAAAATGTTTTACATGCATGCTCGAAGTAACCAAACGGAGCTAGAAGATGAGATTGCAAACTTTGTTTTGGTATAACTTGATAGTTAGCTATGCAGAACATCCATAGCTTGCAGTAAGACACAGTTGCACTGTTACATTTCTACTAGACTAATACACTACAAGTTCCAAAACGTATGCATTTAATTATGCATTTAATAATAATTCCTTCAGAAGAAAACAGAGCATTTTATTTAGAGCTAAAGATGTTTTCTAAAATGTGTGTTTGTGGATGTCTGGATGTTTTTTTGTTAGGCTATTGTGTTAAACATGAAGAAAAAACATTACAGTTTTCTAGACCAGAGGAGAAGTGACTTTGATGTTGACTATGAGGAATTCTGCAAAAGCACTTCTGAACTCCACGTAAGTTAATTAGACAGTGCATTTGTCCTGTTTTGTGCAAATAAAGTTAATGCAAACTGACTAGACATCTGTTTTGTAATGCGGGTTAGCCAAGTTCATTTGCTGGTGATTAAGGATTCATTAGGTGGAGTTTCATTTAAAATTAATTTCATTGCGCTGTCGTTGTTGTGAATATTATTGTTGTCTGTGTTTTCCTTTCCAGAATCAACTGAAGAGTTTCATGGATAGCACCTTTGAAAAAATTGAAAATACAGAAAGGGCTCTAAATGTGCTGAAGACCTTTCAAAGGTATTTCATTGGTAACTAATTAGCATCATTCTGAAATATTTACCGCAATTTCCCTAATCTTGCCAATGCCGCTTCATGTGACATACTGCTTCATTTAATCTCTGAACTTTTAAACTATTCTGCAATAAAAAAAAAACAACAAAAAACTCAGAGTAGCTATTTCATTGAAATAAACACCGGGGTAAACTATAACTGTCATGGTCCAGAGTCTCTTTATGTTTTGTGTTTATTAATTTTTTTGAGTTTTCTGTTTTTTGTTATTTTTCTTCAAGTGTTTAGGTGTTTCTCTTGTTGTGTCCCCTGAAATTGCCGTTCCTAGTGTTTTGTTATTAGTCTCCCGTTTCTAGGTTTTGCTTTGGTTTTTTAAGTGTCTTTTGTGGAAGTTGTGCCACTGCAATAAAGCAGTCTCCTTTAGTTCATTCCCTTGTTTTGAGTTCTGCGTTTGGGTCCTTCCTCCTGCCTGCCACAGCCGTTTCATGACAATAACAAGTGTGCTTTAATGTACAAGTAGGTTTGCTAGTAACAGGGTCCTTTGCACATTTTAGCTCAAAACATTTACCAGCACATCCAAACAAAATAGAGTCCTTGTCATTACTGGTGCTGGTACTGCTATGTGTTTATTGCTGTATTTAAATATTTTTATTGCTGCTGGGTTTGAGTTCTGCTGAACCACTTGTATCTTTGGTTTTCCCAAAAACAGACTGGGCATCCCAGATCTTGGGATTGATGAGAAGTATCAGCAAATTTTACAAAATTATGGCCGGGACATTGAAATGGTTTTCCGCATCTACATGAAGCAGAAACTTGACCCCCCCATTGGCAGGGACTTGCCCCCAGTGGCCGGTCGGATCATGTGGGCTCGGCAGCTGTACAGCCGTATACAGGGACCCATGGATCTCTTTCAGCAGGTGATATTGCCTGACTTTCAGTTTAGGTTTGGCTGGTTCTAGCAGATTAATGATAAAATTGTTTAGCATTTCCCATCCATGTAATGCATCATGTTTGTTTGTTTTGTTTATTACTCTAATTAGCATCCAGGAGTTCTTTCCACATCAGAGGCAAAAAGGATCATCAAGAACTTTAACCGTGTAGCAAGAGCGTTGTTGGAGTTTGAGATGATCTACCATCACAGCTGGATGAAAAAGGTTAACGAACTGTAAAATGTATAATACAAACAAGAAATCTGACAGAGGAGCATTTATATACAATATGTATCGTTAATTCCTTTATATAGTGTTGTGATTTCGTTTGCTGCATATATGTTAACACTTACATGTTTGAGATCATCAAACACATTTTAATACTAGACAAAGTTGATCAATTTAAAAAGGAGAAAGCTATCTAATTATATCTGGCACTGTGTAAACAAGTAATTTGGTGAAAATGATGGATGACTAAAAAGGACACCAAGGCTTCTCTCAGATGTGCCAAAAAACATCTTAATGCTCCCCGATATATTTTGTGGACTGATGAGAGTGACATCCAGCACAAAACTAATGCAGCATTTCATAAAAGCAATATCACACCAGCTCCTGAAGGACAATGTCTGGCCATCAGTTTGTGCCTTGAAGTGGCACAAACTGAAGTGTAATCGGGTTATGTAGCAGGACAACAGATATGGAAAAACACCAGGAAGTCCACCTATGAATGTCTCAACGTCTCAGGAGCTGCAGATGAAAACAAGCTAGCAGCTAAATCTGGTACAATGCATCCTTTCTCTACAGAGGTTCTGTTTTTTCTTGGTCACTGACAAATAAAGTGGAAATGACTAATAAATAAATAAACAAAATGAAGGGTTTGGAGTGGCCTGGTCAAAGTCTGGAGTTAAATCAGATTGAGGTGCTTTGCCATGACTTGTCCTTGAAAACCTTCTAGTGTGGCTGAATTAAAACAATTCTGCAAACAAGAAAGAGGCAAAGTTCTTCTACAGCGAGATAAAAGAATCATTGCAGTTCTTGCTGGAAAAAACTACATTTTGTCCATACTTGGGTTATCTTTGTCTAATATTAAAATTAGTTTGAAGATCTGAAACACAAACTGAATGAACATCTTTTCTCCCCTCTTATTCACACATTTTTCCCTGCATCTCTTCACATAAACCTCACTAAACACCTCAACGCAGATGGAGGATGCCAAAGTTGGCCTGCAAGCCTCTCTTCTGGTCAGATCTCCAGAAACTGGCGAGTTATTTGTGAACTTTGATCCAGAGATTCTGACGCAGATCAGAGAGGTGAACTGCATGACAAAGATGAATTTGGCAATCCCTCCCTTTGCTCTTCTACTGCTGCAAAAACAGGACGTCTTTAAGAAACACTACAATAGAATACAGGTGAGCATAGCACACAGTTGTAGCTAAAATTTCAAAAATGCATACAGTGAACAACCAAATGATCAAAGCTGCATGTAACTAGGAGTATAAAACATCCTGGAATTGTGTTTAAATTCCACACAGATTTTTAAAAATGACTAAAATCGACAAAAACCCATTTTATTGTCAACTGAAAAATTCAGTTCATCCCTTTTGTGTGATTACAAAAATGCACCAACATGCATCTATCTCATTTCAGCTGATGTTGAGCGAGAACACTAAAGTGCGTGCCAAGATTCAGAGTGTCTTTGAACAGCTGGCCATGCCACATGTAGCTAAGGTAAGTGGACCGACCCTCGGCTACCAAAACTAGCAATTGGGACATGGAATGTCACCTCTCTCATGGAGAAGGAGCCTGAGTTAGTGTGTGAGTGTTGAGAGGTAGCGGCTAGATATAGTGGATGTGAATGGCTTGGGCTCTGGAACTAGTCTCCTGGAGACGCGCCCTTGGTGCGAGGTGGCCGGCTGGGATTGGGAATCCTAGAGTGATTGACCGAGCAGTAAAGGACAGTCAGGCACAGGTTAAAGTCCAAAAAAGTGTTCTTTATTTAACCCAAAAAATGAACTTGGGTAAATAATACAAAAATCAACATCTTGGGCAAGAGATCAAAGCAACTGAGCTTGACTCAAAGTTAGTTTTTGTCCCTACCCTCACCTGTGGTCATGAGCTTTGGGTAGTGGAGGAGGTGACTGGGAAGAGGGAGGTCTCAGCTTCTCTACTTAGGCTGCTGCCCCAAGACCCAGCCCCGGATAAGGGTAAGAAAATGGATGGATGGATGGATGGATGTGTCTGTGAAGGTTCTCAGTCATCGTAGTCTAAGGATGGATGGTTTCCCTCTGTTCTTTATCATGTCGATGTCAAATCCTTCATGTTGTGCGCGCTCCAGTTAGCTAAATTATGTTTGCCAGTGCTAGCTAATTAAGCTTTGTTTTGATTTTATATTTCTCTGCAAAGTCTTGCATTTCAGTCCAACCCAGCATCCCATGATCGAGCGTCATGTGATTACATAAAAGTTCAAAATAGGACATTTAAGAAAAGCATATCCCTGGTAACTCATTTTATTTGATTTCATTTGATTTTATGTTTTTATTTTCAGTTGTCTCTAGTAAGTCAGAAGAACACACAAAAAAATGTTAGATCCTTTTTTTATTGTTGCTTGGTTTCGTCATGAATCTTTTCTAAGCATTAAACTGGTGACAGGTATGAGACTGACTGTCACAGCAGGTTGCTTACAAAGTGCATCACCATCATCATACCATACATGACTTACTTGACAGGTGGATGAGGCTATACAACCGGGTTTGACCTCCCTCAACTGGACATCTCTGAACATTGACAAGTATCTCGACCGCATCGACAAAGCGTTGGGTAAGCAAAAAATGCAACGAGATCGATCCTGTACACGCTGACACGAGACATTCCTGCAACTCAGCACTGGCTGCGTGTGATTAATGGATTTATTGCATAGGTGGCTTTCTCACAAGTAACACTCATATAATCAATAGATTCTTTCTCTCTCTACACATTGCTTTTTTTTATACTGAATTGTCTGTTTATCACTGTTCTCTCCTTTGTTCAAACGCATAACAAGTTCCCCTTGATTTTTCCCTCGTTCCCTTATTTTTGGTGGGTTTGTGTCCCTCCCTTTCTCTTTTGTGTGGTTTTTTTTTTTGTCTGTTTAGCTGATCTTGAGTTGCTGATGGACAGAGTGAATGACCTGGTGGAGTTTAGAATAGAAGCAGTACTGCAGGAGATGAGCATATCCAACCTGTGTGTCCTGCCAGAGGATGAGCCTGTGACCTGTGAGGAGTTTGTTCAAACCACCAGGGTAAATAAAGACAAATAAAATAAAAGTATCCGCTGGGTTATTGTTGCTCTACTAAGTCTGTGTAACTATGCAGACATCTGAAAGATGCTATCAATATTTATTAAGTGGTTTTGGTAATTCTCACACATTTAAAATACTTTTTTCTGTATTTAAACATTATTTCTTATTCTAAAGATTAATTACATTGAACTGAACTGTATATCTGCATGTGTCTAGGACCTTTGCATAAGACAAGCCCAGAAAGTGAACATGAAGAGCTCACTGGTGGAGGAGGCAGCTAATGAACTGATCAACATGCTGCTAGAGTTTGACCACAATCAGAGAGAGGAGGTGGAGAAGTTTGAGGAAGAAAGCTGCACAGAGAGCAAGACCATAGACCACAATGACAGTGAAGGTATGCTGACAGTTTCCTTTCACGATCAAACACAATACAGTGTGATAATTATGATTCAATGCTGTAAGAGACAAGTTAAAAAAGGCAGTTCAAAGGTTTTTAAAGGTAAGGGGATTACCTTTTTTAGGACCTTGTTGTTTTTACTTTTATTATAATGCTGATTTATTCAAGGTGAAGTGTTGCTGAAGGTGTTCGTATTGACTGTAAACGTGTCACCTTCTTAGGTGATGACGAGCGTCTCTTCTCCAGAAACACGCTGCTACGTTCTGCTAGTGTTGGTCCTTCTTCTCCGTTGGTGAGGAGGAAGAAGAAGAGGGACTTGATGGAAGTGATGGAGCAGGAAGCCCAGGAGCTGCTGTCCTACTTCAACCACCGTAATGTGGATGCCTTGCTCAAAGTGACACGCAACACCCTTGAGATGTTGCGCAAGCGCATACATACGTCCTCGCTCATACACTTCTCTGGTGCGTCTTGTTTAATTGTTTGCTATATTTCTGTAAAGGCCTAAAATATTTAAAATAAGCTCATAAAATGTCTATTCCAATACTTTATGTGTGTTACCCTTCTCTCCCTCTGTAGCTGCAAGCGACCCAACCAGCCATGGCAAAAGCAGCGATCACCATGCAATCTTCAGAGTAAACATGACCCTTTCCATCCCTAACATTGTCATGGTTCCAGCTTTGGAGGAGGTTCAACAGGCTCTAAACCGCGCTGTAGAGTGTGTAGTCAGTGTCAGCAAAGGAGTCAGCCAGTGGAGCAAAGAAAGGATATCTAAGGTGAATAAAGGAAAAATCAATTTGTGACATTTAGCTTGATAACTGTAATAAACTGTTAGAACTGCTCTTTTTAAACTAATATTGTCGTGGTCCAGCAGTGTACTAAATAAACCCGGAGGTTTTACATTCCCCTTTCCAGAGACAAATGAATGAAAGGCGAATGGCGGCACTGAAACAAGACAGCTCTGAGAGCGAAACAGAGGACGGAGCAACAACATACAGAAGCTTGGCTGGTAATAGAGAACATTATCACTTTCATAGCTTAACCTCAGACCTTCAGCAGCTCCCAACTGTGTCAGCTCACTCATTTTTAAAATTTTAAGATTTGCTGTTTTCAGCATACAATTACAACTCGATTTTACAGCTCAGCAGAGCAAGCAAATATCTGACCAGGGGCAGAAACACATAATATTGCTTGGGGAGGAAAATATTCAAGAATTTCATATTTAATGCAAATTAAATGCATATTTAATTAGAAAGCGGCAGGGATAATCAATTTCCACTATGAAAAGCACATCTTACTTTTAGAAATTATATATACAGAGAGAGAAAAACTAAATGGAAGTAATTCCATTATTAACATGTTCTCTTGTAAAAAGACCTGTAACATATAATTATTTAAAAAGCCCAGAAGTTAATATTTGGAAGAATAATGTCCATCATTTCTGCTCAATGTGTTTTCTATGAAATTCTGTCATTTTCAGATGGCAGTACCTCAGACATGTCAGCTTCTGTGATCCAGGCCATCCCGTTCCAAGCCAGAAATTACTACAAGAGTGTGTCTGAGAACAAGGAAATAGCCAAGCTAATCTCTGTACTTAGCACCTCTATCACCTCCAGTAAAAAGGTACATGGCACTTAATTAAGCTATTTTTTATATGAAACTAATCCAAACTTAGCTGTCTTTTATTAAATCATGCCATACACTTTTTTATATTTCTTTATCCCACATTTACAACAGATATTTTCATCTATATTTCTGTATATTTAATGAATATAAATGTCTTTTATTTTTCTATAAGTGCACTTCATTTCATATTCTCCTGTTGATATTAATGTGCAGGAAGTGGTGACCGCTCTACATCACTTTAGCCGTTACCATCACATCTGGAGGAAAGACCGTGAAGAGACCATGAGGAAGTACGTTGAAATGTATGGTTTCTATATAAATCTGCTTATCTGACATCGCACTAGTGCTATTTTTGTTTGTGTTTTGAACAGATTTATCGAGGGGAGTCCCTTGTTATCGGAGTTTGAGAGCCAGATTCTTTTCTATCGAGATCTAGAGCTGGAAGTAAACTCTGAACCAGAGTATATTGCTGTAGGAGCCTTGGCGCTATTCACAGGTCTTATTAAGTTACAAATTTAAAACCGGCATGAATGAGATTTTTGAGATTTTCAGCAAGTTAAATGATGCTCTCTGCATGCTCATATTACTTCCTGCCAGCACCCTTAAAGATGTCCCTCTCTGCTGAAATCAAGAATTGGATGGTGGACTACGGACTTTACTGTAACAGGAAATGTCGCTCAGAGATGGAGCACATTTTTGCTTTTGTAGATGAAGCAGGAAAGAAACTGAATCGACAAATCAAAGACCTGGATGATATTCGTATTGCCATGGCCGCACTGAAGGAGATCAGAGAGCACCAGATATCTATTGATTTTCAAGTTGGGCCCATAGAGGTAAACCACAGCATCACATATTTATCGAAGCTCTTTTTATACACACAAATACACACAGTGGGAAAGAGACATTTTTAGCTGTTTGACTTTATGAGTCTGTACAAGAAGCTCAGAAAGAAATAATTACACATTTGCACATTCTAGTTTTTGTCAGGTGGAAGACTTAGTATCTTATTTTTCCTCACAGGAGTCCTATGCCATGCTCCATAAGTATGAACTATCAGTGGCTAAAGAGGAGGCTGAAAAAGTGGATACTCTGCGCTACACTTGGGAAAAGCTCTTGTCCCGGAGCACAGAGGTGCAGAACGAGCTGGTCACCTTGCAGCCAAACTTCAGAGAAGAACTGGTCAGCAATGTGGAGACCTTTCTGGAAGACTGCCAACACTTTTATCAAGATTATGAAAAGGTAAAGTATCTATGGCTGTTTGCTCTGTTTCAATTAAACTTTTTATTTTAATTCAACAAATAAATGCTCAGTTAATTACAGTTAAGGTTAGTTTTAATAATAGCTACTAAAATGACACTTTTCCCTCTCTGTTTAAGGACGGTCCCATGGTTGTGGGACTTGCACCCCAAGATGCCAGTGACCGGCTGATCATGTTCCAGGTTGGTTAGTGATTAATTATTTTGTCTCTCTGTCAGTTAGTAAATATTTAGATCCTGCATTGACCTGATGCCTCAGAAAAGTAGTTACTTGAAACTGATGTTAAAAGAGCTATTATATTTTTATTATTATTATTACTATTATTATACTATTACAGTTTCTATTTCATGGTTAGCAAAAGACAGATTTTTTATTCTGTATAAATTATACTCAGATAATTGCAAATGTTTTACCTCAAATGTGTAATGTTTTAAAGTCCATCAGAGCGTAAGCTGTATCTAATCGTAGCTCTTCTCCTCTTCAGAATCGATTTGACAACCTGTTCAGGAAGTACATCACTTACACGGGAGGCGAAGAGCTCTTTGGACTTCCTGTTACCCAGCATCCTCAGCTATTGGAGATTAGGAAGCAACTGGCTCTGCTGCAGAAGTTGTACGGCCTTTACAACAATGTCATCGATACAGTTAATGGCTACTATGATATCCTCTGGGCTGACATCTGCATCGAGAAGATTAATAATGAGCTGCTCGACTTTCAGACGAGGTTTGACAATTTATTTGTTTGTTTTTTATTCAAGCAACTGTTGAACTCTTTTAACTGTAGATGTAGTAACATGAGCTTAAAATATGTTAATGAAGAAGGAGACGTTTTCAGGAAAGAAGCTGAACTGGAAACAAACAAAACTGACTATGTGAGAAAATAACCTTCTCATACTGTGTAATCAAGCCCTGTCATTACTGCAGCAATTGGTGACATCACAAAGAGAAAGGAAAAAAAGCAGAATTAAATTAAATGATTTTCATTAGTCCATCCATAAACATCACTCTTATTTTCAGGCATTAAAGAAACTGCTTCCTTTCACTTGCTACAATATGGAAACTTGTTTCGAGATGTTATAATTTCGAAATACTAACCCAAAGGTTTTACATAACAACAAAAAAAGTGGGTTTTTTTTTCCAGTGGCAGAAACAAAGCTTCCTGTTCTTCATCAACACTGCATTAATATTTCAGTCTCACAATGCAAAGCTAATCTTTGCCCTTTATGTGGTCACATTTGTCCAGCATGTGTCAAATGGACACTGAAGGGGAAAGAGGCTAATAGGCTACAGGCTAGTTTATTTTACCTAAAGAAATTAAGAACAAGTTTTAATATAGCTGGAAGGGATTACTTGACAATGAAAATCTAGATAAAAAATAGAAGCAGTCAGAAGGAAAATATAGAGCTATAGTCAGAGCTGAAGAAGAGAGGATATTTGTTTCCTCTGGCAGAAACGTCAGCTATCTGTTGTGGAGGTGTTGATTTGGTTGAGTGAAGCTATGAACAGACACTGATGCATGAACTTTTGCTCTGTGCTAGTAAGGAAGGATACTCAACAAGTTGTCCAATCCAATGACTCTTGTAGTGTTAATACCAAACTTGAAGTGTGTTGTAATACTTTTCCTTTAACAAACAAAATGTCAACTATACATCTAATCTAGTTCATGTCAACTTTACTTGACTTCAGCAGAGCTAAAGTGTAGTTTAGAAAGAAGACAATAAATATGAGTTTGACTGTCACGTCCTGTGAACTACCAGGTGTCGAAAACTGCCTCGTGCTCTGAAAGAGTGGCAGGCCTTTCAGGATCTGAAGAAAACAATTGATGAATTCAGTGAGTGCTGCCCCCTGCTGGAACTCATGACTAACAAAGCAATGATGGCCCGGCACTGGAAGAGGATAACGGAGGTTAGTGAAACATGGCCACTGGTGTAGCACTGCAACTGAATGTTATTGACTGAAATCAAGTCATCACCAGAACCTAATGATAATGATAATAGCTGTAATTTGTCCTGTTTTGTATCCAGGTGACTGGCCATACCTTTGAGGTGGAAACTGATACATTCAAGCTGCGTAACATAATGGAGGCTCCTCTACTCAAGTATAAAGAAGAGATTGAGGTACAAACAAATCATTAGCTGCTAATTCAGGGTGTTTTCTTTTTTATTTGATATAATAAATTCCAAATAAAATACAAGTTTGGAAAATTGTTTGGAGGAAATGAAAACATTTAAAAAGTTTAAAGAGTAATATATTGAATTAACTTTGCTAACTGATATAGGTGGTCCTGTTCAGTGCAAACACCGATCCTGTTTTTTCAGTGCATATGCATTTGTTTTCCATTAGCATTTTTATTGCTAACATTTAAAAACATTTGGGGGGCGGGATTCTTGTGCAGGATATCTGCATCAGTGCTGTGAAAGAGCGTGATATTGAACAAAAGCTGAAGCAAGTGATCGCTGAGTGGGACAACAAGACTTTTACATTTGCCAGTTTTAAGACCCGTGGGGAGTTGCTGCTGAGAGGAGACAGCACATCAGAGATCATTGCCAGCATGGAGGATAGCCTAATGATCTTGGGATCCCTTATGAGCAACCGGTACGGCAGTGTTGAGTGTCATTATCATTAGTGTCGGTAGTGATGATCTTCTTCCACAGCTGTGGGAAATCTAGACATTAGACGAGCCACACACAGGTGTGCGTCCCTAAGTAAGGCGAACGTGAAGATTTACCTTCTTTTTCAGGTACAACACCCCATTTAAAGCCCAGATTCAGAAGTGGGTTCAGAATCTCTCCAACACCACTGATATTATCGAGCACTGGATGACTGTCCAGAACCTGTGGATCTATCTGGAGGCTGTGTTTGTGGGTGGAGATATCGCCAAACAGTTGCCTAAGGTGAACAACATTTCAGGATGTGATTCATATTGGTTATCAGGCTTAAACATGGACTCCAAATGCAGTTTAAAAGGCAATTTCAGTTTAAAAGGCAAACAAGTGAACTGAACTGAAATTACTCATTTGCAGTTACACAATTTACATAAAAAAAATTCTATCTTTACATCATTATCAGATTTCTGGACAATATTCTGGGTGTTTAGGTGCAGTAGTGCATTAATGTGCCAGGCGTTGAGTTTCTTTTATTTCCATTTTCAAAAATTATATTTCACAGTCTCTTGAGCAAAATAAATCACTGATCCAGGCAATGTTTTCAGCCCACAGTGTTTTGACATTTAAAAGAAGGAGAAATAATAGTGAATTTTTGCCTTTGTAAGATTGTTTTACGAGCTTACTTCTAAAATCGGCGCCAAACAGCGTCCAAGCATTTAAAAGAAGCAACTAAATACAAAATAATAAAACGGTCTGATCATGAGATAATTGACTAACTCAATCTTTTTAGGAAGCAAAGCGTTTCTCTAACATTGATAAGTCATGGGTGAAGATCATGATGCGAGCCCATGAAATGCCCAATGTGGTACAGTCATGCGTGGGGGATGAGACCATGGGACAGCTGCTTCCACATCTCCTCGAACAGCTGGAGATCTGTCAGAAGTCTCTAACAGGGTGAGTAGAAAACACTTAAAACACCACCATGGCCCTTATTTTAGGTTCTAATGAACTTAACCACCAAAAGAAAGGTAGAAGATTTTAAACGATAATCAGTAGTGAGGGTAAGTGAAGTGACTGATTTCCTTTTTATGCTGTACAGTTACTTTTCTGGTTTATTGTATTGTCTGTCAGATGATACTTTGTATTGATTTTTTTAAAATTATGTGGTCAAACAGTTATCTGGAGAAGAAGCGTCTGCTGTTTCCTCGTTTCTTCTTTGTCTCTGATCCTGCCCTGCTGGAGATCCTGGGCCAGGCCTCTGACTCCCACACCATCCAGGCCCACCTTCTCAATGTCTTTGACAATATCAAGTGTGTCCAGTTTCATGAAAAGGTGGATTATGTTCTTTTTTTGTTGTTTATCTTAAACACTTAACCTTCTGAAAAATATGTGATTGTAACATGAAAGTAATAAAATATAATAGCTGCTTTAATGTCAAATTGAATGAACTAATCAGAGTAATGTAGAATTTGAAAAATATACTTTTTATAAGAAAAATAACTTCATCATTGTAGTTATAATAATCGATCTAATCAGTGTTGCCTTTCACAGATATATGACCGCATTCTGGCCGTGTCATCACGCGAGGGAGAGACTGTGGAGCTCGACCGTCCCGTCACAGCTGAAGGGAACGTGGAGGTGTGGCTCAATGCTCTGCTGAAAGAATCCCAGAGGTCTTTGCACCTTGTGATCAGACAAGCTGCTCTGGCTATCCAGGACTCTGGCTTCCAGCTAATTGACTTCCTCAACTCCTTCCCATCTCAAGTAAGTCATTGTCCAAATCCAGGAACTAATCCGCAAACGTTTTAAAACATTGATTCGACCACAACTGACTATCCTTGTGGAGCAAGGATGGCGCTGCTCAAAAACAGAAACCTGTGTAGCCTAAAGAGGCAATCTACTATGAATATTGTAATAAACTCCAAAACAAATTCTAAAGAAAGTTGGGATGCTCCAAAATGTAAGTTAAAATAGGATGCAATGATTCGCAAGTCTTATAAACCCATATAATAAATCTAGCAAATGTTTAAAACTGAGAAAACTATTTTGAGATAAAATATTGGCTCATTTTGAATTTAATGACTACAACGACAGCCAACAAGAGTCTGGATAAATTAGTGGTAGTAAAAAAACAGCTGGAACATTTTGCAACTAATTAGGATATCTGGCAACAGCTCAGTAATATGAGTGGATATAAATAGAGCGTGTTAGGCGAAAGAATTGGGCTGAGTTTCACTAATCTGCAAAAAACTAAAATTGTAGAACAATTACAGAATGATGTTCTTTAGTGTAAAATTGCAAATATGAATTTCCCGTCATCTACGTTACGTGATATCAAAAGATTTCAAGTATCTGGAGAAATCTCTGTGTGCAAGGCTGAAAATCAATATTGGATGCGTGCGAGCTTCAGACCCTCAGGCAGCACTGCATTACAAACAGGCCTGATTCTGTCGTGGAAATCACTGCATGGGCTCAGGAACACCTCCAGAAAATGAATGTGTGGGAGCACAGTTTGCTGTACAGGCTAAAGCTCTATGCTGCAAAGAAAAAGCCATGTGTGAACATGATCCAGAATCACCGTTATATTCTCTGGACCAGAGGTCATTTAACACTGACTGAGCCAAAGTGGAAAACTTTTTATACAACATGGAGACCACATCCTCACGCAATCTGTATTTTTCTGCTCTCTCTCATGGTATGGGGGTGCATTAGTGCCTATGAAACTGGCAGCTTCCACATCTGGATAGATACCATCATTGCTGAAAAGTATCTAAATGTTTTAGAGCAAAATATGCTCCAATCCAGTCATGTCCCTGTCTTTTTCAGGGAACAACCTGCATATTTCAGCTAAATCGCATACTTTGTAGAAGGATACTCTGGGTTTTTAACTGCCTTTCATCAGTCCAGACTGTTCACCACCTGGAAACATCCTGTGTCAGAAAAGAACTGGGCAATATTCCTTACCCACGTACAGTTGCTGGTCTCCCCAGTTCCCAGATGTTTACTGACTGTTGTTAAAAGTGAACAAGTTTTTTTTTTTTTTAAAAGGGTGTGTTTTCTATAAGTATTTGTTATTGTTTCTATGTTCTGTTGTGACTAAAATATGGGTTATTGAGATTTGCAAATCATTGCGTTCTGTTTTTATTTATATTGTATTCAGCATCCCAACTTTTGGGAATTGGGGCTGTTATTTTCTCTGTAAATCTTGGGGTGTGGTACTAAACTGCTATAGTATCCCTTCATCAAAACAATAGTTAGATTTCTAAGGTCATCGGTACATTTGACCATTATGATGTGTTTTGTTTTTTGCACATTAATGTAGGTGGGGTTACTGGGTATTCAGATGATTTGGACAAGGGACTCAGAAGAAGCTCTGACCAATGCCCGATACGATCGTCGCATCATGTCCAAAACCAACCAGTTCTTCCTGGATCTCCTTAACACCCTGATTGACATGACCACAAGAGACTTGGAGGCTGTGGAGAGGACCAAGTATGAGACCCTCATCACTATTCATGTCCACCAGAGGGACATATTTGATGAACTGGTGAGTATGTTGATCATTCAGTGAAAAGAGGCCAGAGACATCCGAGCTGGGATCAGTTAGACTGACGCTGAACTGTGCACATGAACGCTTTGCAATTTCTGTTCAAGATTAGAATCTCCGGCTCAAAATAGCAACCACTCTGTAAACTGTGTTTGATATTCAGACTCCCAAGGGCTGCCATGTCAGAATACAAAATGTTGTTTACTGCAGCGAGTAAATTCTGTCGAAAGTAGTCAGAGGGGTTTTAATGGCAGTCAAGTAATATTTAAAGTCACGACTGTGTTTGAATCTCCACTTAAGGCAGAATAAGCATGTTGCTGAACCCCAAGGTTAATAGAAGCAGTTTGAAGAAACTTTATTTGGATGTGTTTTTTCAGTTCTTTCTAAAAATCATTTGTATTTATTTAGCTCATACCATTAATTTGTCCTGCTCATGTTCCTTTGTCCTGTTTGTTTCTAAACACATTTTTGCCTCACCTTATTTCTTCTCCAATAATATATCACACTGCTGCTTTTCTACCCCCACTGTATTTTTTCTCACACATATTCTGCTTTTTATCTCTTCTATTCATTACTATTCTAATTCATTTTGTACTTTTTCCCATTTGCATCATTTTAACTTGCTGGACTTTTCTCTTCCCTCCTCTTCACTCTCCCCTATCCTTTACCTTCCTTTCTTCCCATTTCACTTCATGACCTCTTCTTTCATCCTCCACTTTCTTGCTTCTCTTCTCTTTCCACCCTTTTAATGTTACCCTCCTGTCACCGAAATCCCTCCTCACACATCCCGCCCTTCCACCTTTCTTCCCCTCTTTTATCCGGCTTTCATCTCTCTTTTCAAATAATCTTCTGAGTGGTGCCCTTCAATTTCTTATTCTTCACATGCCATCTCCCTTCTCCCTTCACTTCTGTTTCCATCCCCTTGTCTCCTTCTGCCCTCTCTTTCCCTCTTTCCCTGTCTCTTATCGCTACCCTTTCTCCACCTAGTGCCGGTTGCATGTCAAAAGCTCCAGTGACTTTGAATGGCTGAAGCAGTGCCGTTTCTACTTCAATGAGGACTCAGACAAGATGATCATCAACATTACAGATGTGGGCTTTGTCTACCAGAATGAATTCTTGGGGTGTACCGAAAGGCTTGTCATTACACCTTTGACGGACAGGTAAAGCAGACATACGTCGGTAAAATGTATCATAATGGCAAAAGTCATATGCACACACACACTAATAAGAAAATAAAGGGGGAAAAAAAGCAGTATAACTTTTCTTTTTTGCAGTTTAAACAAAGACAGTGTAACCTTGGAGTGACTGTACAGAAAACGTGACCCTGCCTTTGTAACTAAGTCAGAAATGCATGCTGCATCATGCATCAGTTATTTTAGGAACCCACTCTAGATTTATGCTGAAAACTTGACCGTGATTGCTCGTTGTAATGTCAAGTTTCATGAAATGGATTAAACTTTCTGTGGTTGACTAATGACTGGATTTGTAAAGCAAAGAAAAAAAGACAACTCGGGGACTGTGAGGATGAGAAATTAGAAAGCAGGATGAAGCAGTCTTACACAGCGATCATCACATCTGTAACTAACAGACGATATGAATGACAGAAAGAAAAGGAAAGAGGATCAGACAGAGTGAGGGAGACAGCAGTCCAACAACAAGAAGTGTCTTAGTAACAGACACAGAGGGTAAAATATGAGAAGAGACAAGGAGGGGGAAAAAAAGATGAGGAGAGACAAGGAGGAGATGTGAGAGGACAGCACTAGGGAGGGAGTTACCATCTAACATCAGACAGCAGCTCTCCAAAAAAGTGGCATGCTGGCCTTATGGCTAGAGGCGCCAAGACAGCTCTGCTTTTCCATCATTTTCTCATGCTGTCTTTCTTCTTTGTTTTGCTTGCTATCATTGTCCTACCTCCTCGCTGCCACCACATCACGTTAAAAAAGGGAAAGGTGCAAGTGGTCCTAAATTGTGGCAAAAAAGATGTTGGGATGAAAAAAGTAAATCTGGTTACGGAGTGGTCAGATTTAATCTGTATCTGCTGAAGGAGGGAAAATATGTCAGTATCCCAGCTTTACCATGATTTTTACTCCGAGGTCAGTCATTGTAATGAAGATGGAGACCAGTGACCAGAGGGCTAGGTCCTGTTGTCAGTCATCCTGATTGCTGATGTGTCCTTGAGCAAATCGCTGAATCCCCATCAGCTTCAGGGGCAGGGTTCTAAAGCTTAATCCTTGAACCTTGTGGAGAATGAGATCACGTTCATTTGTGGTCATTTTGAGTATGGATATTATTAGCTTATGAATTTATGAAATGATTCATGATTTATGAAATTAGATTGTTATTATGTTTGTGTGTCTACAATTGGACAGGTGTTACATCACTTTAGCCCAAGCTCTTGGTATGAGTATGGGTGGAGCACCTGCTGGTCCAGCTGGAACAGGTATGAAAATTAGTCACACAGTATCTATCTATTTTTTGGAAATTACATTGAATCAAAAAGAAAATGCAACATTTTATAGGATTGAAAACCTAGAACTGGTATGCAAACCTTATGATTTCGGAATGGGACAGACATGTTAAAAAGCTGTTCCAAGGTTTGCCAAGTGTTAAAGTAATTGAATTTAACCATTTTAAATATAGATAATTTACCCTTCTAGACTCTATACAACTCATTTAAATGAAGAATCAAACAACACAGCTATCTCAGTCGGGAACGGCTTCATTACAGAGTTAGCTTTGATAGTTTCTATTATGAGATCATTTGTTGTCAGGTTTTCTATCAGCATACAAATGGTTGCATTTCAGTTTAGGCTGTGAAAATGTTGCCTTTTGTTATCAGGAAAGACCGAGACCATAAAAGACATGGGTCGCTGTTTGGGAAAGTACGTTGTGGTCTTCAACTGCTCTGACCAGATGGACTTCAGAGGCTTGGGGAGAATATTTAAAGGTGAGAATCACTAAGTAAAGTCATGCTATAAGTGTCATGATAGACTGTGTGGCAAGCAGGAAGTACGTACCAATTGCAGAACTCATGAGACAGAATCAACTTAACAAGGCAGTGTTTATTGCTGGGAGGCTTTACATAAAGATTAAACTTCACAAAAAACAAACCAAAACCCCAAACTAGAAAACTCGAAACTAAACTGGACACTTGAGTCTAAAAACTATGAAGCACAAACTAGGAAAACAAACCAGGACTGGGAACTAGAATTTCCTCAGGAATTCGGAAGGGGAAAAAACAGACAGCATGGTGAGGGTACGACATGACACAGACAGGAAAACACAGGACTGGAGCAATCAGGGAACGGGAGACAGGAGGGAAACACAGCTCGGGGAGAAATCAGAGCTAACGAGACAAGGTGAAGCAAAACCAGACACACTGGAAGCACAACAGGCACAGAGACACAGACTTGACACTGAACATAGGGACATGGGAACAAGAACTAGAAATCACAGAGTAACAAACTAGAGAGCTAGAAATACTGAGACAGAAACCAAAACACTAACAGTGATAACCATGATGAACTCAAAGATCAAAAACACAACAAAACTCAAAACACTGGGTCACCGACCCAGGACCGAGACAATAAATATATACCGTACCCAGAAAGAAGTTTAAGGGTTTGAGTTATCAGGTTATAGACCTGTGGGGTGTTTTTTTTTTTTTTGCTAATAAATCATAACAATACAGATTAAAAAAAACAACAATCACACAATATGTAATGTCAGATATCTTATTTGTTTGCAGCGGACGGACCATAACTCTGTGTTTATGTGATTTACCAGGTCTGGCTCAGTCTGGTTCGTGGGGCTGTTTTGACGAGTTCAACCGCATCGACCTCCCAGTTCTTTCTGTGGCAGCCCAGCAGATCGCGATAGTTCTCACCTGCAAGAAGGAACGTCGCAAAAATTTTGTCTTCACAGATGGAGACAATGTGGACATGAACCCAGAGTTTGGCATCTTCCTTACCATGGTTAGTAATGGAAGTAGAACAAGACTGCTAATATCTATTTGACTGGTCAGAGGAGATATATAAAGGAGGCAGTTCTTAACATCAGTAAATGACACCTTAGTTAACAGAATGAATATTGAAGTGTATGAACTGTATCTGTTTCAGATGGTGCCTGGACATGCTGTGCATGCATGGACATCAATATTTACTCTTGGCTGTTAGATTTATCGCATAATGATTCCTTTTTTTTTTAAAGCAAAATTTTTAATCTTGAAAACTGAAATGAATCACAAATAACACTAAAATGGAATTGAACTCTAACATGTAATATTTTATAAGTCAGTTTTTGAATTAAACTTTGGGCTCTGCCTGCTATTTCATGTGATTTATTTCTTAGAGCAATAGTTAAATCGCTTTATCTCCTTGCCTCATTTGCTGTCCTGAGGCAAGTCATTAAACATAACAGTGGAATAATTCCTCCCTGTGGCGAGAGGGGTCAGAGATCATTTTCCTCTTTTTTATTCTGTGTGTGTGTGTGTGTGTGTGTGTGTGTGTGTGTGTGTGTGTGTGTGTGTGTGTGTGTGTACATTAGTATAGACAAGCTTTGTGAAACAGGCTGTGTCTGTAGGCTGTGTCTGCTGAAGTTGAAGGATAGCGTTTGTGATGAAGATGAACTACATTCCAGTATAAACTTCATCCATTTAGTTTCATTGTTGTTGCATTCTAGTCTGTCATCTAAATCAGCGGTCTCCAACCTTTTTTGCGCCACGGACCGGTTTATGCCCAACAATATTTTCACGGACCGGCCTTTAAGGTGTCGCGGAAAAATACAACAAAATAAAACTAGTACCGCTACTGAAAAATAGAAGAGTTATTCATAACACACGTGAAAAGACCCAGGAAAACTGAGTTAACGATAAAAACGATGACAAAATAACGCTGAAAACCGATAAAAACCCTGAAAACTATACATTTCACACCTGAGCGTCAACTCTCGCGGCCCGGTACCGGTCCGAGGCCCGGGGGTTTTGGACCACTGATCTAAATTTCTAATGCAGTAGAATGGGCAATGTAGCATTTACTCCTAATTATCATTAAATGTTTTATTTCTGTTTTACTCCATTAATATCTTTTTTTTTGTTATTCTCCATGTAATCAGAATCCAGGTTATGCAGGTCGTCAGGAGCTTCCTGAAAACCTGAAGATCAACTTCCGCTCCGTGGCCATGATGGTTCCAGACCGTCAAATCATTATTAGGGTAAAACTGGCCAGTTGTGGGTTTATCGACAACATGGAGCTTGCACGCAAATTCTTCACGCTTTACAAGCTGTGCGAGGAGCAACTGTCCAAGCAGGTATAAAAATTGAAGATCTTTTTTTTAACCTTGCAGTAACAAGTGGAAAGTGGTAGAACTTGCACTGAGTGTGGGAGCATAAACAAGCTGCAGCTAAAAATGCATAAAAAGTCTTACTGACACACAGGCTGCTGAAAATAGAGTGTGATGCTTGTAGGAATGGGGTCAGAAAAGGAGTTAGTTTGGAGGAGGTATCATTGTCACATGACTTAACAACAAGGTTGCACGGGTTTCCATTAATGTAAATGAAACTAAAATGATATTTATGAATGTTCAGGTTCACTATGATTTTGGCCTGCGCAACATTCTGTCAGTTCTGCGAACTCTGGGAGCAGCCAAGCGAGCCAACCCCAGTGATACAGAGTCTACCATTGTCATGAGGGTTCTAAGGGACATGAACCTTTCAAAACTGGTAAGTCTACAATGTACACAATAGGGCATCAAAAAGATAACCATGCTGATATTTCATGTTTTCACTGGGTTTTGCAAATTTGTGTGCACATGCGTTTAGATCGATGAGGATGAGCCACTTTTTCTGAGCTTGATTGAAGACCTCTTCCCGGGCATCCAACTTGACAAAGCGGGCTACCCTGAACTAGAAGCTGCCATTGACAAACAGGTAGGAAAGTTTGAAGAATGGATTTATCTGTTATTGACGAGGAGAGTGAAAATCCACAGTAACACCAAGTTTGCAAGATGGGGGAACAGGAAGGGGAAACAATGGAAAGAGGCAGAAAGAGAAATGCGAAGGCTGAGTAAGACGGTCCAAAAGCCTAATGGAGAGTGAGGCCGCCGTATTTGTCATGTCAGACCTCAGGACAGGACATCGAGAAGGATACAAATAGTGGCATTTATTATTTGTAAAGGACCTAACCCGAGGACCTGTGAAAAACAGTGCAGGAAGGGAGAGATGCAATTAAAAGTTGGAACTTTTAGATTTTATGCTGTTTTGTTGCTGATCAGTTAAGCAAGTGCATTTGATAGTATTAGTTTAGTTTTTCATATATTGCTTCTGCATTTTGGCTTCATTTTTTTAATTAAAAAAAAAAAGATGTTTTGATGTGTGAAACCTTAAAATTGACTGAAGGTGTGCTTTCTTTTTACCGCGACTGTATACTAAGTTATTATACTTGTAAATACAGTAAAAGCATTATTGTTACAAAAATAGCTGGAATTGTAACTACTTTGTTTCTTCAGGTGGAGGATGCAGGCCTAATCAACCATCCTCCTTGGAAGCTAAAGGTCATCCAGCTTTACGAGACTCAAAGAGTCCGACATGGCATGATGGCCCTGGGGCCCAGTGGGGCTGGAAAGACAACTTGTATACACACGCTTATGAAAGCTATGACAGGTAGGATTTAGTGTATTTTGTCGCATGTGAGCTTAAAGAAAAAGACACCAACTTGTGGTAAGCTTGTTTTGAATCTATTGTACTGTAGACACGAATATGTGAACAGAATAACTGAAGAAATATACTCATACTGGGACGAGATATCTATTTAATTTATGGGGTATCTTATTAAATCTACATATTTTTAGGGTAATATTGTTACTTTTGTGACCTTGTCATGTGTTTAATATAATTATTGCTCCATTAAAGTATTATATTATCCATTATATTAACTTTAGGAAAACAGAACATGTTTCTGCTAATATCTAATTTTCTTCCAGAATGTGGTCATTCTCACAGAGAGATGCGCATGAACCCCAAAGCCATTACTGCACCTCAGATGTTTGGCAGACTAGATGTGGCCACAAATGACTGGACTGATGGCATCTTCTCTACACTGTGGAGGAAAACACTGAGAGCAAAGAAAGGTCCAAAAAGTTTCTTATTGTGCACATATGTCACACTTGGGTATTAATAAAGCAAAAAATCATTGGTAAACATTGTTTTCCATGAGAACTTTGACAAACCAGTTCAAGTAGGTTATTGCAATTAAGTATTAATACGTTGGGACAACGTTGGAAGGTTCAAAGGAAACAAAGCTCTGTTTAATCTTCCTATTTAATTCTAAGCTTACACGGATAATTAAAAATGTCTGCGGGCAATTGCGTATGCATTCCATGTTTGCTTTTATGCGTCTAAGTACACATCCCGTCTATTAATTACTTGTTCTGATGGTGTTTTGCATCTCTATGAGTGGGGTGTTCTCTGCGTATTTGCATTATTTTCCTGCTGCTACTTCCTGTTCATTTGCAGAGCTTGCTACTTTGGACAGAGTGAATTCCAGTGTAGAAAAGTAGATGTGGCAATGTGACAGGGCAGCAGCTCCTGGGATCGAGTAGATATTCCTCAAAGAAAAGAAGTACTTTGTGAAAACAGCTGTGTGCTGTCCACGCTCATTGTGTTTTAACTGATGCAGAAATAGCCTTGTGTGTATCATCTGGTAACTTCTGTGTAAAACACGTGCTCATGTAGTAGTCATATTCAAAGGAACTGATTTCTTAGCATTTAGAGTGTAAACCACATTCAAACAGCAGCTTTATTGTGCGATATTGCCTGAACGTCAGACAACGTCAGCCTTTTGCTTGTTTCAGACGCAATTTGTCTTTTGTGTTTCTGTTTTTGGATGTTTTCCAACTGGGAGGAGAGCGAGGAGAAACGGATTTCTTTGTTCATATTTAAAATTCCACAAAATAAATGACTCAGTTGTTGTTTTTCTTGCAAACTGATAGCTCATGATTGCTGGTTAGCCAAGAAAACATTTTGAACTCTTTTGTCTGCACTAAATTCATATTCAGAAATGTAGCTCATTTTTGCTTGAGGGTGACAGCACAAGGTCTTCATACCACCTCATTTTCGTAATCATGTAAACAAACACTTTGTTTCCCTCACAGGAGAGCACATCTGGATAGTGCTGGATGGGCCAGTTGACGCCATCTGGATTGAAAACCTAAATTCAGTTTTGGATGACAACAGAACTCTTACACTCGCAAATGGAGACCGAATACCAATGGCTCCCAACTGCAAGGTGGTATTTGAGCCGCATAACATCGACAATGCCTCTCCAGCCACCGTCTCACGCAATGGCATGGTGTTCATGAGCTCCTCTGTGCTCACCTGGATCCCCATACTAGAGGTGAAAAACCGGTTGTAATTATTTTTGTTTCATTTCGTAAAAGTTTGAAATCAAGGTATATTAAGGCAATATTTACTTGTGAATCATATAATTTAAAACCTGTGCACTGCATGTAGTTTTGACTAAATAGAGTCATGCTGTTGCTGCTTCTAGGGCTGGTTGAAGAAACGGTCCCCACATGAGGCAGAGATACTGAGAAAGCTCTTCTCTTCGTCTTTCTCCGAGCTCTACCGCTTCTGCGTGCAGTCACTAGAGTTCAAAATGGACATGCTAGAGGCCTTTGTAATCATGCAATGCATAAACATGCTACAGGGACTCATACCACCTAGGGTGAGGTATTCCCATCCACTGGACGTGCACACGAACAGCAGCTAATGAATATTTCATTGATAAGTGACTCTTGAAGTAGAAGTGGAAATTTATAGTGAGACCAACTTGTATTTATGTTTTCAAAACCTTTTTAAGCACATTTATACCCATTATACAGACTGGGACTCATAGTTTTGTCCATATATTTTGTATGTTCAGTTTCATAGACTTGGCCTAACTTATGAAGTGCTCATCTCCTTTTTGGGTTCTTTTAATGATCCCTGAATTTCCTCATCTTAAAATGGATATCAATTTACAGGAGCAGTGTGGCGATTTATCCAGAGAGTTCTTGGAGCGGCTTTATGTCTTTGCACTAATGTGGAGCGCTGGGGCCGTACTTGAACTGGATGATCGGAGGAAGATGGAAATCTGGCTTAGAGGAAACAGGAGTATTCATCTAAACTTGCCAGACATTCCTCCTGACAGTGAGGACACCATGTTTGACTACTATGTCACAGCAGATGGTAAGCATGGCTTCATTAACTTTCAGTCAGATGGCGTTGTTTAGTTACTGGGTAGGCAGAGACATTATGTCTCATGTTGTACTTATGGAAAGTACATATGTGTATATAAAATTATTTTTAGTGATAAACTGAATTAATATCCTTGGATTAATATTATTTTTAATTTTTTTTTTCATATTTTGTGTTGATCTCTACAACAAGCTTTATCTTATTAAAATTAAATTAAATATTTTTCCAGGTCACTGGGTCCATTGGAACACCAGAGTGGAGGAATACATTTATCCATCTGAATTCACACCAGAGTACAGCTCAATTTTGGTCCCCAATGTGGACAACGTTAGAACAGACTTCCTAACCCAGACTATTGCAAAGCAAGGCAAGGTATTGTTACCAGTTAGAGTAATTTCCATCATCAGCAAACACTAGTGACCTGCTTCCAGTGACAGCCTACACGCGCATGCTTTAACGCGTAGTGTTAAACTGCCTTCTCCATGTTTGATAGACAATGTGATGATGTTCCACATACTTTTCTTTTCCCATCATTCCGGCACAAGCAATCTTAGTTTTAGTTTTTGGATAATTGTGCAAGGCTCTTTTTAGCTGTTTTCTGTTTTCAAAGTCTAATCTGACCACCAGCACGGTGGCACGGTGGTTAGCACTGTTGCCGCACAGCAAGAAGGTCCTGAGTTCAATTCCACCATCAGACCGGGGTCTTTCTGTGTGGAGTTTG